TCCATCCTCCAGGCAGATTGCATGTCTAAGGAGGATTTAAAAAACAAAACAAAACACACATTTAAAAGCAGAATCATTATTTGTTCCTTAAAGTGTGGAATGCAGAGGAATCTGTTATTAGATTTAGGTCATGGGGGTGGGGAATAAATATTGGCCTATGCTTCATTTATTTTTGAAAACTTTATGATTTAGTGTTGACTGTGATTTTGTCATGCACCCCCACTTTGTACATTCAGCCTCCCCCAATACTCTAGCCTACTCCAGCTCCCAGCCTGACCTTTCTCACCCCTGTTTCCACATCTGCAATCACTGTGAAGTTGAACCCATTCAGAGAAAACTGTGATTCTGTTTTGATGGTTACATGTTTGCAGATGAACGTAGGAACGCACACCCATAACACACCAAAGAACACATGCCCACTTTCCTACTATTAGCGATCAGAAGCATCCAGCCCTGGGATCTTGTCCAGAGTCCGCTAGAAAAGTGAGACCTGAGGAAAAGTTTGCACTGCTGTGGAGAAGCCCAACGCTTCGGCAATAGCCTACTCCAGCAGGAGGAGTTTGAGCTATAAATAACTACATCACTAGGGGGAGAGGTTCTTGCAGCCAGAACTCCTCACTTGCTTTTCTCTCTGGATGAAACATACATGGAGAGGATTTTGATTATTTAAATGCAGATGTGAGATGTTTAAAAGCTGCTGGGGTGGTTTTCTCGGAGGCAATGGGTTAATGCTACCATCTCGGTAGCGATGCTCCCAGCGCGCAGTGGTGATCAAGAGCTAACGATCTGGGAGTGAGCCCTGGGATGGCCAGTTGCGGAGATCCAGGCTTCGGCAGCAGCTCCCAGAGGCGAACGCTGAGAACTGCTTCCTCTAGGTGCCTGGCTTCCTGGGTCAGGGTGGGGAGCTTCGGAAGAATAAACTAGACCCTATCTCCTTCCCTTTCCTACACACTCTCCTACATTCTCTGGGATGTCAGTTCCCGCTACTTGCAAGCGCGTGTAAAAGTCAGAGTCTGACGCTTGGAGGCGAAGTGCAGCTGCTGCTTTTCCTCTCAGTAAATGCGCCCGCATTCCCTCAAAGGAGATAGTTCCCGAAAGCCTCGCTCCTCCTCCAGGCTCCTTCTGGAGCCCGGGCGCCACTAGCTCCCTGGAGTGCCCAGGTCTGGCGGAAGCATAATGGATGCTCGGCGCGACTGACGCGCCGGGCTGCATCCCCCGCCCCGCCCCGCCGGCGGCCCCGCCCCGGCCCGGTGTGCCCGCGGCTGCCCACGAGACCCTGCGCTGGTTGGCCAGGGCGCGCCTGGCTCCTTGCTCTCACCTCCGCGTGCGCGGAGTGTCCCACGTCCCTGCTTAGCAGCAGCGTGGTTGCGCGTCTATGGGCGTGAAAGGGAGGAGGACATTCCGTGCTCAGAGGAGGAAGACACGTACTTGAAAATTTATTTGGGGAGCAAGACTTACTATCACCTTAGAGGAGTTAGTCATGATACATTTTCTGGCTTTCTTCTGTTTCTGTTGTTAGTTTGTTTGCCCGTCTTTTAACTTGTCATCACCTCTAGGCCAGGGTCCCTAGCCGCTGCCCCAGGCTGTACAAAATGGTAACAGGATTGTAATAACAATCGCAATGCTTATCTCTGTCTCAAAAAGAATACCACCTGGTTTTAAACTCCATCTGTCTCTTATCAGCACAAAAGAAAAAGAAAAAACCCACCCAACAAACCAATAAAACCCCACAACTCAATAATAGAGTACCTGGAACCACGTTGTTCTCATCTTCTTAGTCTCTACTGTTGAGAGTAAAAAGAAAATAAACTTTTTTTAATGTAAATGATTTCATGTAAATCCATTATATATTTAGTTTTTGATGTTACAAGTGCAAAATACAGCTTACTATTTTAAACTCTAATTTCCCCATTTGAGTTGAAGTAAATATTTCTGACCAAGATTTTTGCTGTTAAAACATTAAACATCCCCAAATTAAAAAAAAAAAAAATCCCCCAAACCAAAAAAAATCCACTACCCAAAACATAAAAACACATGCACACAAAAAAACCCCCAAAAAACCAAAAACACATACACAACAAAAGTCATGTCTCTGTACCATATTTATTTATCTTCAGGAATAACCTTGGACAGTTTGAAGGAATTGAGCACATAATCAACTGTTCCTTTGTTTTCTTAGCCTAATAAATTTCAATATGCTTCAGATTCACTTTTCCATCCCTTCCAATGATTCAGACTTGTTATTTAAAAGTCATGTAAGCATGAATATTAAGTCCAGATTCTAACATTTTGCTGAAGTTGTTTTCAAGCAAGTTAATACTTGAAGATATATTCATTTTTATTTTGACCAAGTTGATCTGTTTGTTTAAAATGTTGTAGATCAAAAGAGATATTTTAGGAGTAAAAACTAAAGTGCAACTTTGAAACCTGATTTATCAAAGAATGCTTTAGGAGAGTAATTGTCTTTAATTACAATAAAATATATCCAGCTGAAAGTGTGATATATATTAATTTATGACATCTTAATGCATTCTCTTATATTATTAGGATAACTTACTCTATTGTTTTGTGATTTTTGATACCATACAATTGGAATGCAACTCTTTAAAATTCAAGTGATACTATCTTGAGAATTAATTTTGAAATATCTAGAAATTTTAAAAAAAGGGATATTAAACACATATTTTACTCACCAACATGCATATTATATGAATAGCTTTTTCTTTATACAATAATTTACAGATATACACACACACACACACACACAGAGAGAGTATAGCAATTCTGTGTTTTTTTTTTGGCTTAAGAAAAAACATTGTATGAACAAAAATTTAAATTCAAGAAAGGCTCTATAAAGCAGTTCTGAAAGAGTACTACAAATAAATAACTGGAGTAATGATAGAATTACACTGTTAAGTTCAAGTTGATAAAGTTGCAAACTTCTCTATAGTTGTTATAAAATAAGACTATAATACTATTGAGCTTTAAAATTTATTTTAATATTTATAAGTGAAATACAGTATTAGTATTTTATCACTTTTCCTCCCTTAAGAGAAACTAGTATCAGGTGAGTATTCATTTCACTTTTGATTCATAGAGATGAAGATCTATATATCATAAAGTGACAGTTACATTAAGGAAGATTTATTCTTGCTTATGTACAAGTCTGTTCAAGTTTTTCATGTAAATTTTTGAAATAAAACTTTCTTTTTCAGTATTACTATTGGATTCTAAAGCACAACAGACAGAGCTGGAATGGATTTCCTCTCCACCCAATGGAGTAAGTCCTTTTTCTTATCAAATATCAGCTTTTATTTTTAAGTTAAGAAACAAAACTTATTCTTGTTAAAGGGGCCACATTTTTACTGTTCTTTATATTTAACTTGTTTCCATTCCAAACACCTTTTGCAGCATTTTGTGTTTAAAATGAGGTTTTGCATTTTCTAGATAAACTGAGAACTTTAAAAAAAAAAATCCCTATAGCCATACATTTTGAGTTCATGTTGTGAACAGAATCATACCTCAGGTTCCAGACTATAAATGCTAACTAATTAGAGGGAACATTCCTTTCAGAAACTCAACTTAAACCTTTTTAGGTGCTTTATTCTTCTGTAGCATAATCACTAGGTAGGCTGTGTATAGTTCTTTAAAACAGTATGTAGTCTGCTTTCCTCTATTAAAAACAGGTTTAGCATTATTCAAAAAAGTCTAAAAAGTTAAATAAATTTGTACTATAGTTAACATTTTTTACATATAAATTGCAATAAAATATCTTTTAGAGTTTTCCAAGTTTTTATCATGTACTATCTGCTGCTACTTGATGACAGAACATATACATACTACAGTTGAAGTCTGCTATAATATATATGAGTAAAAATTGTGCAATGAAAATCTTTCAACATACAACTAAGCCCTAAATAAATGCTGCCATTAAGTTGCATATATCTATATCTAAAAAGACATACTACTAACTTAAATTTAGTTCAATATCTATGTCTTCAGATCCTATTTTAATTGTGAGAGTGAGCACAATTCTTCATTCTTTATTGAAGGAGAAGTTTCTGAGGAGAATATACCTCAATGTTACATAAATTAATCTTTGGCACATATAGAAATCTAGAGTAAAAAGGAGTATTAAGGATGAGAGAACATGTAAAAAGTACAAAAAGAAGAATGAAAATCTGAATGTGATTTTGAGTATAAGGACATCATAATATCAGTGTCCCATGAACTAGAAGTCAGTTAGGAATGCAGAAATATACACAATGCTTATCTGTCTAAAATATTTAGGCTTTGACAGAATTAATTTTTTAAGAAAGTGTATAAGATGACATGTAATTGTCAGTATTGGTCACTATGAATCATGGACAAGTGACAAAATTTGTACAAATTAAATTTTAAAAGTGTAGACTTTTAGGTATGCGTATAATACTTCTCAAGAAATGAGATAGTTTTTTTGAGTAAAATTATATATATATTCTAGAAAGTCATTGACTGTAAAAATGAAGCACATTTCTTGCCAATGACAGTTATAGCTTTTTTTCCACCAGCCATCAATAAAAATAAATAGAGGAGAGGATAATTTTATCTTTAAAGTAAACTGATGTATGATTATTATATTTCATCCATATAACCCACAATATGATACATTTTGACTGTCAATGTTATCTTAATCTCACATGAGCGTTTTATGAGTCAAGTATATCTTGGGCTCACTGTTAACCCTAAATATCTGTAGTAATTGGTAGGTAAAATGGGGGCAAACAGAATGAAAATATTTTCCATCAATAAAACAGTTTGGGCCACATGTGATTATATATCTAAGTAGAAATAAAATGTTATTAAGACCTAGGTTTCCAAAAATTATTTTTATTAACATACTAAAAAAATATAGCATCAGAATTAAGATTAACTTTTCAGATATTGTTATATGTGCAAATGATTATAGAATCCTAGAAAATGAGATAATAAAATAAGAGTTGCCTTAAGTGTATTTATGTAGTTTCATTATTTTTTAATACATGTGTTAAAATCCATCTCTTGATCATACAAATTTTTAAAATTAAAATTAACAGTTTCATGAGTAGTATAATTTAATTTCCGTATATAGAGCAAAAATATAATTGTTCTTAACGTTCAAAAAAGGAACTCTTCTGATACAGTTCTTTATCAGAATTGGGGTTGATCTCTTAAAACTAGCAAAACATTTTAAAAAGCATATTCTTGAAGCACCTAAACTTTAATGGATACTGTCAGTAGTTTTACTTCTTTCATAAATTTAAATATAATTAACTGGTACAATCTATATGTCAAAATAGCTATATTTGGCTGAATTTCATTCAAACAGGTTACAAATAGCTAACAGAAATAAAGAGAAACACAGACATTAACTGATAATGACCTCAATTTATGTTGAGTAAAAACTGAACAAGGATGGATACTTTGTACATTTTAGCCCCTTTGTTACTATTAGGCTATATATAATAACACTAACAAATATATATCTTCTACATAAGAAACTTGAATTATAGTATAGTGTTAATTTACCAGTCATATTAATTTTCTAAGAGTCACGGTTTTAAAAGTAGATATCAATATTGTGTAGATCACTTAAATAAATACCTAGATAAAATTTTAAAAATGAAACTTACTTCCATAGGCTTTCTGATAGTTAATTTTCCTACCTTTATTTCCCCCATTAAACAGTAATCTAAATATTATAGACTTTTAACTTGATCATTAATGTATATGTAAAATTGATATTATTTATTGGAGAAATGAATACTGGCAGATGTTAGTTTCACCATTAATCATCAGAAATGGAAAATGGAATATTTTATAATAGTGATGATCAAAAGCAAAGAATTTATTATGGAATAGCCTCCCTCTTTTAGGCTTCTAAAATTATTAGGTGAAATGGAATAGTTTATAAAATGGAATGGAATGGTATGATGCTATGTGATTTAGTAGTCTTTGAAATTGTGGTAAGTTCTCCTAAATATTATTTTTCCCTTTGGCTTAACATACATGATCTAGGCTTACTTGTGGTATACTATGTATCATTGTGTAAGTGGACAATTTTAAACATCTTTTTCTTGGGGAAAATATCATCACTCAGTATGATAAGCATACCTCTTTGCCGTATATATTTGTGTGTTGAAAGTAACATATATTAAGATGAATCTTTTATAAATACAATTTTCTGGCTTTATGTATAATATTATAATCCTGGAATAGATAGATACCTCTTTAGCATATTACTCCCTTAGATTTTATCTTGAAAAGGTTGTAAAATAGATTATAAAAATTACTATGTTGAATAAAGCTTTTACATTTGAAAGTAATGCATTTTTTCTAATATTTTTGCATGCTAAATTTAAATATAATACAGACACTTAAAACATCAAAGGAATCATGAAAATTTCTTTCCCATTTTCACCTGCATATGCTTTAAGTGGTAATGTAATAATAATTAATTTTCGTCTATAAAGGAAAAGAGAAATGTAAAAAGAAAACACTGAAATACTACTAACGAAATACTAAAATATATTTTGTGCTTAACAAAAAATGCAGCAATTGAAGTGACTTCCAAATTGAACTGAGTCCTATATTGTTTGGTTACAGTGTTTGCCAGGGCAGGAATCAGCCTAATGCTTCCATAAATCTCTATTTGTAGCATACTAAAAATTCTTCACATGCTTTCCAAAATGACATATTTCTACTGAATGATTTTTATTTGTTTATCATAATTATTTGCGTATAATCTTTTATTTGTTTTACAGTGGGAAGAAATTAGTGGTTTGGATGAGAACTACACACCAATACGAACCTACCAGGTGTGCCAGGTTATGGAACCCAACCAGAACAACTGGCTGCGGACTAACTGGATTTCAAAAGGCAACGCACAAAGGATTTTTGTAGAATTAAAATTTACCCTGAGGGATTGTAACAGTCTTCCTGGAGTACTGGGAACTTGCAAGGAAACCTTTAATTTGTACTATTATGAAACAGACTACGACACTGGCAGGAATATAAGAGAAAACTTATATGTAAAAATAGACACAATTGCTGCTGATGAAAGTTTTACACAGGGTGACCTTGGTGAAAGAAAGATGAAGCTTAACACTGAGGTGAGAGAGATTGGACCTTTGTCCAAAAAAGGATTCTATCTTGCCTTTCAGGATGTAGGGGCTTGCATAGCTTTGGTTTCTGTCAAAGTGTACTACAAGAAGTGCTGGTCCATTATTGAGAACTTAGCTATCTTTCCAGATACAGTGACTGGTTCAGAATTTTCCTCTTTAGTCGAGGTTCGAGGGACATGTGTCAGCAGTGCAGAGGAAGAGGCTGAAAACTCTCCCAGGATGCACTGCAGTGCAGAAGGAGAATGGTTAGTACCCATCGGAAAGTGTATCTGCAAAGCCGGCTACCAGCAAAAAGGAGACTCTTGTGAACGTGAGTAATAAGTGATTTTACGATTTTGGTTTATCGTGGTCTTTTTTCTTTTCAATAACAGACACGTAAGCATTAATAATAACTTGAACAATAAGTATTTTTTTTTACCAGCAGCCGGATTTAGGCATATGTAACCATTGCCCCACAGTGGTATCTGCACTAAAGGTATGGAATAAGTATTGACAATAATGATATTTGTTGCCGAAACTTACAAAGTATACCTACTCCTTATTTATTGACATAGTTAAATCCCAGAAAACAGGTCACTAAAGATATGTGATTGTTCAGAGGGTCACTATGAGCTGTACTCTACTCCCAGGGCACCTAACAGCGACAACAACAGCATGCACAAAAAGGGAATAACCATATCACATCACAAAATGAAAGAAGGCTACATTGTTACTTAGCTGCCAAACCAGTGAGAATCATGGCCCAGCTGGGTTAACACATAACCTTCATCAGCATTGTCAGCATAATTCTCACCTCACACCTGATATCCATTACAAGCAGATGTATAATGTTCATGTGCAAAATACTTGGATAGTAGATTTTTCCCACTGTCTCCAATACTAAATGTTGAATAGTGATAGTTACTAAATATAGAATTGATATAACTGGATGCGTGACATGGAAATCAATAGCTGTGCACTGTGCTTGGAAGTGAAGTCTCAGAGAGGATACTGGATAGGTAAACATCAGCCTAGGAAGACAGAGATAACATTAGTCAGGACTTAACAAGATGTATTTCTTTATGTTTTAATACTCACATTGTTTGTGTTTATGAGTAGTAGAACAAAGCAGAACTCTGTAAACTGGTAGTACTTTTACAAATACAAACATAATCCACTACTCTAGTCAACTCTGACTCCTGCTGATTCTCATTCGCTTTCTGAGGAGACTAAACATTTCCAAAATTTTGCGCTTATTTTTTTATGAATACTAAAACTTTGTTTTAAAAGAATAAAGCTGCGTGAATAAATCTCTGGGGTTACTCACATCAGCATTATATATATATTTTTTCTAATTAGCTTTTTAAAGAAATCATTTGACAGTAGACTACTTTATTTTGTGCCTTTTGGCCAAAGTAATTTTAATACATCATTGAACTTTTTTATTTGAGACAATTTTTCTTTGTTTTGCAAAATTAAATTTTCTTGTTGATAACATTATTGGTTGGCCCCAGTGTTCTTCTACTTCACACTATGCTACTTAACTCCTAACTGAAAGATGCTTATCTGTAGCTGTCCTGTAAAATTGCTTATATTTGGGTTATATTATTTATATCTCTTTAAGCTTTTAAAATGTGATGCGTTAAAAATATTAACTTTATGTAATCTTTATAAACTAAAACGTGGTTTAGTATTTATAATTCTAGCTACTTCATAAGTCACTATACGCCAAAAACTTACTACTATTTAGTTGATTTTGACTCCTAAAGAACCTCCTTTAGCTTTCTCAGGATGTAAATCTTTACAAGGGTTTTCTGCCCATTTTTCTGTCATATCTAAATTGCTGATCTCCAAATTAGCAGCCTAACATATCACAAAAAATTTGTTTAGAACTGTATGCTGTTTTTTCTGGCTTAGTATGTACATGCTTCACCTCATTTATGTATTAGCACTTTTAAAGAGGTAAAGTACATACTTATTTTACAGAATAGGAAATTGAATTTGTAAGAAATAGATAGCTTACCTGCCTTTACATGACTAAGTAATGTATGTAGCTTGGATTCCAACTTGGGACAGTCGGGCTCAAGACCTAAGCTCTTAACAATAGTGTTCCCATTGTCTCTATGCTGAATGAAATAAGCAGAATCCAACATATATTATTTGATTATTTAAGTATCTCCCTATATCATTTACATAACTAATAGGATATTTAAGTAATACAAAATAAATATATATTTAGGTCTATGCCATCCAGGATGGTAACCAAAAATCACATGCAACTCTTTAAGGCTTTAAAATGTGACCGCTCAAAGATGTCACATATTAACCATAAAATGTGCCCTGGATTTTGAAGCCTTAATATACGCAAGACAGTAAACTATCTCAGTAATTTCTTCTTGGTTATTTATGAAAATAAATGTATATTTATAATTGCATTAAATATAATATTAAAATTAATTTCTATTATTTCCTTCCCCTGTTTTTGACAGAATTATTCAAAATTGAAAAAAGTACTTATTTGAATTGCATTATATTTGTATTGGATTTAATGGATTAAATATAGTAAATAAACAAGTACACATTTCTGGCCCTGTTTGAAGACTTAAATACTTCAAGTGGGTGGTCATTAGGCATATAAAGTAACAAAGGTCCAGCACTCAGTTATTATCTGTATTATATCTGACATTATGAAACTAACTCTGATCAAAACTAATGTAAATGTTCTAAGTTTAGTTCCTATCAATCTGTTTAACAACCTCGTTTTAATACTCACTGTAGGAATCAAACTTGTCTATAGTCATCTTCTTTTCCCATACCTTAATAGCACAATTTCAGATTGAGTAGAAAATCTTTTAATTTACATAAATGTAGAAAACAAAACCAGATGAAGATTTATCATTACATGTAGACAGAATTCTATTCTATGAGTTAAGTATAAAAATATTCTTAATGAACGAATTCATTCAATGAACTACAGTGTATGTATTGACTTGAAGTTAACATCGCTAACTTGAAAATAATGGGGAAGTTAATAGAAGCTATTCCAAACTATTTTAAGCGTAGACTTAAATTTTACCTGAAAATCAGTTCATTTCAGTAATATACAGATCTGAATTTATATAAAAATTGTATATTTGTACCACTAAAAAGTGAAAAAATAAAAATGAGAATTGTGATAAAATAAAACATGCTAGTACATATGAAACTGCACAATTCAATTTGAGATAACACTTAACAAATAACATGAGGGTCCCAGTCCGTTAACGCTTAATGATTTTACAGAAAAATTACAGTATTTCTTATTGAAATTGTTCACATTAATTTATTTTGGTTTTAAGACTTGAAAGCATATTTGAAGACCAAACTTCTTGTCATCTGCAGGTACTTAAAAACAAGTGAACTAGCTCCATCATTAACTACATTTATTCTGTTTTGGAATATTTTAAATTCAGTATTAATAGTAAGAATTCTATAAATAAAACCAAAACCTGAATACAGGAGGCAGAATGCCTCTGATAAATTTACTGGAAGGTGATGTAGTCATTTCTACAGATCAAATAAATTGTTTAGGGTCTAACATTCTTAATTTTTAAGAGTGGTGATACTGATGAAGGGATCAAATTTGTCTAACTGTAGGTAAAACCTTAGAAACAGTAATGTAGTTCTACCCTGTGCTTTTGGGCTTCTATGAGCCATAATTGACTAGATGGCAATGGGTTTGATTTGGATTTATATATACTTCACTATGGCACTGTGTTCATTTGAAAATACTTTTATTCTTGTCATAATTCCAATGCATTTCTAAGAGTACTTGCTTCTGTAAACAATCCAGGCCCTTCTTTATAGTATTTTTCCTGTTTCCTTTCAATAATACTGTAAAGAGTTTTCAAAACAAATTCCATTTCCATATTGAGGAAAACCAGTGTGTTCAGAGAGGATATGAACAAATCCAGAGCCAAATGAGGACAGTTAGCCTCTTAAAGCCAAGTATATCTGGGTCTTTGGTTTTCTGGAGTCATAGCCTGTTGTGATGTTTGTTAGGATATCCACATGTTAGTGTCAGAAGCAGTGAGATTGGTTCAGGATAGTGAAGTGTTCAGAGATGTTGTGCATAGGGTCGCTATGAGTCAGGAGAAACTCGACGGCACATAACAACAGCAAATATGCACAACTATCTAAACTGTTTATGAATTCAGTTTATTGGTATAAGCTTTTATATTACTTGGTAATTTTTAAAAATAAGTTTTGAGAAACAAATGCCACATAAGTTTGCTGATGCAAAGAGAACTACAAATATAAAATGAGAAGTTTAATAAATTGCTGCATAGTAATTTTGGAACAGATAACATGTTTTTATTGTCCGAAATACTTTTTTAAAAATTTCATTTTAAGTAATGTAACAAATTCTGTATAAACTAATCATTATGTTCTCATAAAAAAGTTTCTCATTTATAAAGTTCAAAGTCTAGTATATTTTTACCTGTGGAAGTAATTTTGGAAGATAGAAAATTAGAGATAGAAATATATTTGCAATTTTTATATAGTTGATCCTATGTCTACAGTAAAATATTACTTGTTAAGAAGCTTATATTTATTAAAACTTTCATTAGTGTAGGAAATGTGCAATTTATGTGAAACAGTCCCATTTATTTTTATTATTCTCATAAATGAGAATACAATCCTGCACTCTCTCCAAATTTATAAAAAAAGAGAAACAATTATTAATAAGTAACAACATTGAATGAGAATCCAATGCGTTTACCAGTTTGAATCTTTTTTCCCCTTATTCACAGTACTGCTTCCCTAAACTTTGTCCTGGACTTCTACCTCTAAATTGTAATTACCTAGAATAAAACCTTATTCTGTATAAGAAGACCACATGCCTCGTTTTACAGGGATAATGGTTTTGCTTCTTGTCTTGGGGAAAGAATAAACTATAATTTTTTTTTTTACATTCGAAAGTGTTCTAATGTAGGTGATAAAATATGTCATTCTAATAATATAAATTCCAAGGATGTAGTTTAATTTCTGTGGACTTATACTAGAAGATAGACATGCTCTATGCTTGTATTCTTTTTATAGCTTAATTTAATTTTTTTGAACTGAAATGTTCTTTTAGATATTTAATATAAAGCTCAATTCAGGTATTATAAATGGTGACTGCTTTTTATTTTAATAGATATTCCTAGTAGTTATTTTGTAACATTGTATATCAATAACTTTGTACCATCTGCATTATTTTAATATGAAGTTTTTGCATATGTAGTAGGTATTTATCCAGTAAATTAAACCGGAAATATTTCAATAATAAAAAATATCTAAAATCCAAGT